TCTTGAGCTTTAGGAAAAGAGATTTCAAAAAGTTGGCTAGAATTTCATAGAAAGAAAACCATTTTTAAAAGGATGGGAGGTCTTGAAAATTGAAATGCTGAAGGCAAAACTGCAAACTAATGAAAGGGAAACAGAAGAAGAGGATTCTCTGAAGTGCTGTGACTCAATAAAGGAATGTAAAAGAGATGGAAGGAGGGAAACATAGCCTTGTTAGAGTACTACAGATCAGACCAACCTGAAAGGTTGGTTTGTTTCAGGAAGGCTAAAATGGCCCAGAATGTGCTGGGGCTTGTGAGGATACTAAGAACAACAACAAGGGCTTCTTTGGCTATATTAGGAGCAAGAAGAGCAATGATGTGCTGGATCTGCTGGCCAACATTTGACAGAATCACTCAATAGCTTTTGCTTTCCACAAGGAGAGTTGTATTCAACCTGGGACAAGAACAAATGCCATAAAGAGTGACATGCAGTTCAAGATAGATTAGAATAACACCTATCTTCTTTAAATGGGTACAACTGTCCAGATAAATTACATCCCCAAGTACTCAAGGAACAGGAGACATAATTTCAGAGAAGGTATCTAAAGTCTTTTAGATTTTTTTTGAGAACTGGTGTTATAATGTAATGATGGAGATGGCCACATCTTCAAATGGGAAGAAAATGGAACTAGAAACTACAGATCAGACAATTTAATGTCAAAACTAGGCAAAATTCTACAACAGTTCATGAAGCAATATGTGAACATCTGGAAGATAATGCATTGATTACCAGTATTCAGATAGGGGTTTTGCCAGGAATCTTGTGTCAGAACAGCCCTAATAATTTTTATTTTTAGGACAGGAGTTACTAGCTTGACAAATGGATATTGTTATAAACTTGTTAACAAGATGATAAAATATGGGCTGATTCCACAGCTGTTTGTGAAACCGCACTCAGTGAGCGCTTATTAACGGCTGGGTATCCTCCTAGAAGGAAGCCATGAGTAGAATGCTGCAGGACTCTGGCTTAGGCTTTTAATTTTCAACATTTTAACAAAAATCCAGAATGAGGGTGTGGAGGGATTGATTAGCAAAACTGCTGGAATCACAAGGCAAGGAAGGACAGTTAGCACCACAGAAAATGTGATCAAGATTGAAAAGAATCCAGACAAGTTGGAACAATTAGTTTAAACTAACAAGATGAAATTTAACAGAGATAAATATAAATGTAGGTATAGAGAGTATAGACATGGGTGATGTGACTGCACCAGTATGTTGAGGAAGATCCAGCTATCTTAATAGATCACAATCTGAGTATGAGTCAGCAGTGTGATACAGCTGCTAAAAAGCTTTTGGACTGCATTAAAAAGAAAAAAGTGCAGTGTTCAAGTGATAGAAAGTAATAGTTCTACTCTATTCCATGGTCATCAAATAACACTGGGAATTCTAGGTGAATCTTTTAAGAACTCTGATAAAGTGATAAAGTAGGGAGCATCCAGTAAGCAAGGTGATGGGGGGCAGGGGCGGGTGTCTGGAAACCAAGTCTTATGAAGAGTGACTGAAAGAGCTAAGTATGTTCAGACTGGAGAAGAGATTAAGAGGAGAAGGCTACTGGATTTCAAATAACTGAAAGGCTGTTGGGCAGAAGACTTATTCTGTTGACCATGCTGCCAGCCTCTAGCTATGGAGCCCAGCCTCACACCAGTGCCCTGGTCCCGGTGTTCTGCTCACGCCTGCCTACATTCTGGTCCTCGTAACAGGAAGTGACCTAAGAACATAAGAAAATCCATGCTGGATTAGTCCAAAGGGCCATCTAGTTCAGCACTCTGCACACATGATGGCAAACCAGCTGCCCACAGGATCGCTCAAGCAGGATCGATGCAAGAGCTCCACCTGCTCAAACTCCTCAACAACTGGTGCATACAGACATGCCACCTCTAGTAAAGGAAGCAGCACACAGTCAGCAAAGCTAGGAGTCACTCATAGCCTCCTCCTTCATGAATTTGTCCAATCCTTTTTTTAAAGCTATCCAGATTGAGGGCCATCGTCACTTCCCATGACAGCAAATTCCACAGCTGAACTATGCACTGTGTGAAGAAGTACTTGATTTTATCTGTCCTAAACCTCCCATCAGTCAGCTTCATGGCATAAACCTGATTTGAGTGTTATGAGGGAGAAAAGTGTTTCCCTCTCCTCTGGTACAGGGCTGATTTTAGGGACATTTTAAGTACTCTAGTAAGAAGGTCAGCAATTTCATGTTTGAGTTCTTTGAGAACTCTAGGATATTTGCCCATCTACTCCACGTTTTGCGGAGCTGTACCTCTCCCTCTTTTTTCATGGGCAGACACAGACAACTGCTTTCTAGCTAAAGTTTTATTAGGTTAATGGAAACCAGTGAGGCCAGCTTTAAAATACAAAATAAGCGTATTGTAGAAACGAATTAGAAAAGAAACAAAAAGTTACTGTTTTAAGAGATCAAGCCACTGAAGGAGTATGGCCTGAAAGGTAAGAAATTGATTCTAAAATCAGGTTCTCTCCTTCCTCCCAAACTCAAATTATCAACACTATTTTTAAAGTGGACCTCCTTGTGTAAGGGCTAACTGCATAAAATACCCAACACTTCTTAGCTGCTCCATGCCATTTAACTGACACTTGACCATGGCTGATGCTCCCTTCTCCTCATGCTCACTGTGACTTCCCAAGGTATCTGAAATTTATCGGACTCTCTGCTATTTCTCAACATGTCTCTGGCTCATCTGGTCTTGGCATTTCAGGTAGAAGTTCCACCCTGCACTCCTCTTATGACTCAGATTCTTTCCACACTTCTGGCGGTGTGTCTCCCAGGTTTCAGATAAGGCATTCTCATCACCTCCTATTTTATCCTTTAAATGGAATTACCAAGAATTGAGGATGTTCTGCATGCAAAGTATTGGATCTATCATGGGGTTATGCCCTTTCTCAGCTCCTTCTATCATCAGATTTATACAGAAAAAGTTATGCACTGCTTTCATGTCTTGTATTTTTATATATTAGTTGTGCTTTCATATATAAGTTGATTTGACTTAAGAGAAAATATTTGCTTGAATAATTAACACTGTGGGGTTATGAAGTTCCATTCAGTTTTGAATAAAACTAATCAGTTTCTGCCACCTTGTGGACAAAGCAAGATTCACTTAGTTTAACAGGCAACCAATAGCACATCTAAATAGAAAATCAAATGCATATTTTTAATATCTGAGAGGGGGAAACCACATAGAACAAGAAAAGACTACAGTGAAAGTAAGGTTTTAATGGCTCCTCCCTTCCTCCCCTTGAAGACTCAAGTTTGCAGTTTGGTTCACTCCTGTATTCAGTCTGGAACCTGGAATCCCAGGCACCAGCAACAGAAAGCAGTATGTCTGCATAGCTATAACTGGTATGCCAACTGTACTGAATGAATGAATGACTCTATTTTGGTGATGGACCAATAAAGCCAACTATAGCTGTTCCTGGAAAACCGTATGTTGACACAAGCGTTAGTTATATCCATTAGAACTACTGTAACACAATCTATGGGGGCTGTCCTGAAAAAGTGTCCAGAAACTTCATCTGGTCTAGAATGCTGCAGCTTGACTATGACTGGGACCAGTTACAGGGAGTATACATGATGTCCTTGTTACAACAGCTTCTGGGCCTGGGCAGAATTTGAAGTGCCTGATTATGACCTATAACCCCTGATATGACTTGAATCAGGCTACCTGAAAGACCATATTCTCCTATACAAGCCTGTCAAGTTTTAAGATCTCTGGGAAGAAGCCTTTCTCTCAGTTCTGCCACCACAGAAGGTAAATTTGGTGGAGATGCGAGAGCTCTTCCAAGGCTCTGGACCTTCCATGCAAGGTTAGGATTGCTCTTTCACTATTGTATTTCAGGTAGCAGGCAAAGCCTTCAGGCAGGTTTTGGGCTTTTAAGCTGGGTTGCTATTTAAAGGATTTTAACAGGGTGAATGGTGTTCTTTTTATTGATGTACTTTAACTGCATTTTAATTTGTTTTTATGTTTGGATTTTATTTCTATCTTTATTTTAACATTACTACTGCTAAGTACCTTGAGTGGTATTTTCAGAACAGCAGACATAGCTTTAACAGATAAAGAATTAATATTTGCTGGGGGAAACTGCATATACAGAAATGTGCAGACTGTCCTTCTGGTATCTGTGCACTACTCAATATGGCTTACAACACATTAGCATCACAACAACATCACATACAATAAGCATCCAAGAAAAGCAGAGATCTCAGATAAAGCAAAACTTTACATAACACAGCAGATAATGGGCAAAAACTTCCAGAATAAAATGTATTTACAATTATCTTCATTCCAGTCAATCAATCTCAGGCATGTATAGACATACACACAGTGTGCACCTGAGCTGGACTAAATAAAGGATACATATATCTATACTACCAAAATGATTAGTAAGAACAATCTAGTAGTAAGTCAACAGTATATGGGCTACTATGCTAGAACAGACAGACTGCTAACCTGTCGCAGTTGTGTGATATCACTCAAAGAAGGCTAGAGATATGAAAAAGGCAAAGAGTGGTTAAGTGTACAGGGCATGTGAGCAAAGACAAAAGGTTAAAATTTTACTGGATACAACCATGTAAGATGAAGAACAGAATTTAGGCTAGGGTTATAATTGGGGAAAGAAGAGAAAACTGAGAGAAGAATGTTCTTAAGACCACAATGGTTCCACATGACATGAAGAAAGTGGGCTGGTAAGATTGTCTTACTGGTCTACTAAAAGTGTTAAGAGATAGTTCAAAGCTTGCCTAAGAAGTTAACTCTATCAGCTGGAGGCAGAGCCAGGATGGAGAAGGCCACCTTCTACCAGATGATTCTGGGCATCAGTCTTCTTTTGTTCCCACTCAGCATCAAACCATTCCTATGAAATCAGTAATGTAGCATTTCACCCACTGTGTTCCTTTTAGCCCAGCAGATAAAATTCCAGTGAATAAAGAAGTTGAACAACATTTCTCACCTCAGCATTGGTCTAGGAGGAGGTGGTGGTTCATCAGGGTCTTGACACCTCTTCACCTTCCTAGTGACTTGCTTATAAATGTTCCTAGAAGTGACACCCATCCATAACAAAGTGGACAGTGTAGAATAGTGCAATATTATTCCGACCTGAAAAACAGGTATTAAATAAAATACTCAAATGAGATAGATGTTAGCAATTTATGAACCTAGTGTACATAAAGTCCTAACATAGTTGGGATATTTCTAACCCGTCCAATCACTATGTGTCTCTGGCTGGCTTACAAACAAATTCAATAAATACAACAATATAAATATATGTATGTTAAGTACATAAAATGCAATATATCTTCTGAAATATAACTACTCTTAAGCAACATCTGCTTGATTAATTTCTCTGAGTTCATATGTTTACTCTCAACTACTGGGCACCCTGATAAGAAAATACTCTTCAAAACATTACATTTATATAAAACTATATAGAATTCTACAATTTGGCTGAAATGTTGCACTCAGTAAGAAGCTGCTATACATTTTACTCTTAAGAAATCACTTGCACTATTGGTTTTAAATTACGTTTTATTTCACTACAGGAATAAAAGGGACACTTTTCGTTCAGTAATTTGCTCTAAAGATAGCAGAGTGCAAAATACTTGCAAGGCATATCAGCTACAAATGGTACATATACTGTTCATTCATTGTGCTTGCTTCTAGTTTCTCTAAAATATAAAAAGGAAACATGGATCTAATTCTATATATTTTAGGCTAAAGTACATTGATTCATACTTAACCTGTATCACATCTTCAGCTTTCAGTTTCCTTTATCCCTTTCTCCTGCTGTTTTAAGTTTCTCCTATAAAAGCTTCCCCTTTTTCCTCCTTCCTCTTAATTCACATTTTAAAAATTGTTATTATTGTCACTTTTCTTGAAAGTATGAACTTTGCTTCTAACCTGCTGCCATACATGAAATAGCCAAGGTACTGGGGGGGTCAAACGAACAGTTAATGTGCAATCTAGAACACTGGAACCTATTGCTGGATCCTGACCCTCAGTCTGAGAAGCTCTGATCTGAAAAGTGGTTATCAATCAGCACTTTTCAAGTGTGTTATATGTTAGACCAAGGTGATTGTCCACAGGAAATTTGGGTGTTACTTAACTCAAGATTGGCTAAAATACCCTTGATCACCACTTCCAACTTTCCACCTACACTATATAGGTACAGAGAAGTACTGGGTGCACTTTTAAACTTTAATACATTCCTAAATCTTCTACAGTGCTCAGGAACTCTTTGGCAAAGGAATGCATGTGGAAAAGATTCTATGAGAGAAAAATAGTCCAAAAAAACTGGTCTAGATAATACCATTCTTCAAACAAGTAAGACACTTCTTTAAACAGTAAAATATGCTCTGAACACAAAGTTTCAGAAGAGTACATTTCTGACTTTGGTTTAGTAATTTCCTAGAATGGAATGGATAACTGCCAAAATGTTATATTTTTGCAGGGAAAATGCTCAATAAACATTGACAACATCATTGCTCCACACACAAACCCTTTTATTATTTTTTATGGCTTTTAGTGGTTCCAAACACACATTTCACTTACTGCTTGGCAGATGCTAGCATTCTTGCTCTGGGTTATGCCTCCAACGTACATCACACATGTCAGGAAAATATGAAAGCTGAGGTTAACTAACATGTGCCAGCTTTTAAGGCTGATCCTGATGACACTGTTAAACAACAAAAACAGAGTTGTATTTCACAGAATCAACATCACAACATGTTTGTTTTAAGTGGAATAAGAGTCTCATCACGCTGAATCTATGTGGGCCTTAATTACTAAAATTGAAATACTAATTATTACTAAATATTGTACTAAAATTTAAAACATAAAATAGACTGTCCAGAATAGACATCATGAAGAATGAGGTGCAACTTTGGATAGTGGTATGTGCGAAACCACTAGTTTCCAGATTTTCTTCTTTCAAGAAATGCTTTTTATATCAAACTTGTTTGTTAAAAAAACTGTACTTCTTCCTACATCTGTAAACTGTAGGAATTTCAGGACATACTTTAGGGTACAAGCTGAAGTCACATATTACAGTGATGGCTATTCAGTAATTTTGGGCCTGTCACTCACTCTCAGACTAACCCATCTCAGGATGAGTGTTGTGAGGATAAAATGGAGCTATGTAAGCTGCCATGGGTTCCTCACACACAGAAAAGGGTGGTATACAAGTGCAATGCAACAATAACAAGACAATATAAATTCAGAATCTTGATACCTGTGATGATATATGTAGCTAATTTTGATTATCAAGAGGCACAACAGAAGAATCACAGCAGATACATAGATAACTGGATGTAGAAGATCAGCTGCCTGGATATATCCTGTCAAATCCTGAGAGGTAAGACAATACAATGCATGGTGTTAGTTCAGTCAGTGTTCCCATTTGACATAAGGATTATTCTTTATAGATCCAAAAGACTGTATAAAAGCAGCATAAAATTTGGGTGCAGCCAAAACAGAATTCTTCCCTCTCAACTCTCAGCTTTGCATTTTTAACTTCAATAAGCATGCTAGTTCCTCTTGCAGTTCTTTTCCATCTTAGTCAGAAATCCCCAAGGAGGGGAAACAGTTACAGTAATTGGAGTCTGGATCATAATGTAGATAGAGGGAAAATTATTAAGACTGTATGAGCCACTTAGCACAATGCAATAGCCAAATTTAGAAAGCTAATGACTGAAGGGTTATGACACTCTCCTCAAATTAGCAAGGTTAACATGCTTGCCTAATCTATTCATTTTGATACATCCTTGCCAAAACAGCAGACAGCAGAATGTTTATTTTTGTTCCTCCAGGTGGCACAGTTATATTTTACCTGAAATTGATTACCTCTTCAAATATAAACCAAACTGTAGATAAAGTTTTGGATTCTTAAAAAGTAGGTTATTTCTTTCTACAAAAGGATTAGATGTAATTGTAAGAATCAAAGCATAAGAATTTTTAGTTCTGGGATTATAGTGATTAGGTTTTTAAAATACCTACCTACCAGTTTTATTTTATCTCTTCTTACGTAAAGGCTCCACAGACCCTGACATCACATGCTAATTTTTTTTTTACAGAAAGATTATCCAGAAACCTGGAAGACTCACTCATACAGAATATCCAAGGGCATAACAAAAACGTATTTTGTGATCATACTTCAGTGATGAAGCTATTCTTAATACAGTATTTGAAATTGTTTCTTTTATTTGTTATATTAATTTTCAGTTTTTGAACTATTTTCTAATTTGTATCTTTTCATACAGACCCTTTTGTGGGATATTAAGACTGAGAAAAGCCTTGCAATTAATTCCTTAAAGGTTAGTAACCCACAAATACATAACCATGTTAGTTAATAGTAGCCGCAGAGGAGAAAAAGAGAGAACTTCAACCTACATTGCCTGAGCTAAGAATTTTGCCAAAGGAAATAGAGTAAGATCTTACCCAAACTTGGCACTATTTAGCAGCACTACAGTGACAGTTTCCTTTGGTGAGAGGGCACTAACAAGTATTAGATACAGAAATAATCAAGGACACTTTTAATTTCTGCATACAAAACTCAATTTACCACAGAAACTGGGATAAAATTATCAGCTTACATACCATCAGGACCGCGTAGTTACTAAGGGAGTAGCATTGTATAGTAGTGACATTTTCATCTGAAGAAAGAATGTGGCACCCATCTGATTTCCAACCTCCTTGTCCATTCAGCAAATCAAAGTCCCATTGCACTGCAACAGCATCTGCTCCGTGCGCAATGCGCCGTAACGTCACATTAATCGGAATGTGCTGATGTGGTAGATTTAAGCCATCTTGTTTGGTTATAAAGAAAGGCAGAAAAATGACTTCTCTTTATATATGCTAAAATTAAAACAATGCTACTTTAAGAGAACACACACATGCACGCACAGAGGGTATGCTATTTTCTAAGAAAGCAGTGTTGATTAGATGTATAATTTGCAAGGGACAAACCTATTTTGGTGAGGATAACTGGTGTGACCACAGTGAGACGTTTTCTGTCAGCAGTTAAAGTTGTTGAATTTCCTGTTGCTGGGAAAAGTTTCCCATTGCGGAATGCAATAAGTTGAAGCTTGTAGACATTGTCATCTGTTGGCCTAATTTCTCTTTTGTGTTTTTGTGAAAAAAGAGCAGGTGGCAATTGTATAGAGGCCTCCACAATAGTGTTCTGCAAAATAAGCAAGCAGAGTGGATATCAAAGCAAAATACAATGTTTCCTATGTGTCATCTGTGCTCTAGTAAGCTGCTTTCTCTGTCCACCACTGTTAAGTTTTCTTCATTATGTGCTAGGGGTCATTTGCTTAGTTTTGTAAGGAGGAGCTTTCATATGATTGATTCTCTATGCACTAACCATACTGTACGATACAGGCAGGCAAGTCCTCTTTAGTACCTGGAGAGGTTTCACACATCCATTGCTAGAATTTGGGAGAAAGGGGGAAGTCTATGTAGGTGAAGTAATGTGGAACATTCTGCCAGAGCCATGCTTGCAACCACTGTGTTTAAAAAAGACTTTGTTTCTTAACCAAACTGTTAAAGTAGGGGATCATAAATAGTGCATTTTAATTTCTTATTAGTCAGTGGAAATCAGGAGTTTTAACATTAGGATTGTGTTAAGACCCTACAGAAAAGTGGCAGAGCAAAACAATGACTAAGTAAAGAGCCCATTGTTAAAAGCCCATTTGGTTTCAAGGAAATAGAAGCAGACACTGCAAATTGTTCGGCTGACTCCTAACAAACAGTAAGGGGGTAAAACTGGTCTCACATGCAATAATCCTCTAACTGCCACCCGATTGTAGGGGGCAGTTTTGAGTCAACACTAGTGGGAACATATAACAAACCTCAGGGCATGTTCCTGAATGTATCTTTTTAGAAATTAAACACTGTTTCCAGTTCCCTAGTGAGTCTACTGTACATAACTAAAGAACACAGACTCTAGTCACATTTTTCCTTCCAACTCAAATCAAGCAGCAATGAAATTACTTCCTCTATAACATTTCAACTTTTTTTTTGCCATGGACATACTATTCATTTTTTTCACCCATCCCAAAGCAGAATTTCATTTATGTCACAATACTATCTGTTTTGTGAATCTTGGCTTCCACAAACTATGGTTTGGCATTAGGTCTGAACTTAGTATCATCTGGATAGAGTACCTATAGAAAGACTGCCTAAATATAGAAATATGCTATATGCTTTTCAGGGCCAGGTCAAGACCTTTTTATTTACCTGGTATTTTAAAGTTTAAATATTTTAATTATGTTTTTTTTCTCAGTTGTGGCTTATTATGATGTATTTATTATGAGGTGGGGTCGCAATGGGTTGGACACGACTTTGCGACTAACAACAACAAATTTATTGGGTGATTTATTGTAATCTATCCAGAGATGTACAGTAATTGGATGGGTTAGAAATAACCCCAGTAAATAATAAATAAATAATAATAGAAAGAGTATCTGAAAAACAGAACTGTTCACATGGCTAAGAGTCTCTTGCCAGTGATTTCACATACCTTTCCCTCTTCACTCTGATGGGCCAATGGCTTCTTCACTTATCCAGTTCCTGACTGATATGCTCTTCCTTTTCAATTTAACTTCCTACCTATGTAGCAACTTTGTGAGGATTCTAAGCACTAAGGGATTCTAGGCACTTTCATCAATATCTATTAACAAATCCATTAAAAGCACACCTTTTGCTTTTAACAAGCTACAAGGGGGCACTTCAACAATGCAATACTGCAATGTAGTCTCTTTCCTAAAAGAAGTGTTCTTGTACAGGCTACCAGCCAGCCATTCTCTGCAAACACGCCTCAAGCCATTCTGCTTCTTCTTTCCAACCCAACATTGTTGGGTTCACATATTTAATGTGGACTTCTTTGGTGGGGGTGGGGGCATGGCAATAAAATATTCCACTCACCTACAACTTGCAACAGGAAAGTAAAAAGCAAAATAAAAGGTTATTTCATTCAGTAGACTGTATGAACTACCTCTCCCTGTCACACTGACAGACACACACACACACATGCACACCCCTACCTTAAGTGCTAGGCTTGACAATGTATTAGAGACATTACACTTAAAGCCCAGTTGCTTATCAAGACTTCCATCCAGATCTCTTCGCCCATAATCAGGCAGTCCTGTGCGGTCTGTTGCAGCCACCTTCTGGAACACTGTGCAAGTCATTCCAGTGAAGCCAGAACCTTTTATTACGTAAGCTTCCATGGCAATATTTGGAGAATACTACAGAAATAAAGCAGAAAATGCTGTTCTGAAGATGAGGTCATTGTACAAACATCAGAAAAATATATTTTGACACTGATACACTGACTGGGTTGAATATACAATTTATTTTCAAAATATTTTAATCTTTACTCAAATAGTGCCCACAAAAAGTGGAATCTGAGTTTAAAAAGTTTAAAATGAAAATTCCCACTAATTTTAGAATAAAGCAATGCCAATCAATGAATAAAAAAGTGCCAATTCTTACCGTTGAATAAACCTGAGCACCATTAGCTAGTCGGTATGTAGAAATCCTTTGCAAGCACTGAACAATTCGAGTACACGCTTTAGCTTCCCTCTGGGCCATCCACAAGATGTGTTCATCAGCTAGCATTATATTACTTGCAATATCAACCATCACATCACCAAGCTAATTAAAGAAAGGGAGCAAATGTGATGTCTTCTAACATCTACATTGTTCTTCAGATACATATTTTGTTCTCTGAAAATGTCCCTCCAAGCAAATCTGATATTTTTATTGTGCTTTACCACAGGCTTCCTCCAAGGAGGTTAGTACATGGGTCCACCACCTCTCAATTTACATTAACATTAATCAAAAACACACTGATTTAGAAACAAACAGAAGTAACAAAGATACCTATTAAAATGTTAATTTACATTCAAGTTGTAGAGTAACAAACCTCTTGCAAACAATTTGCAAGTTAACTCCCCTAACAGTCGTAATTCTGTTTAAGATTTCTTACTGCTTAAGACACATTTCTTATGTTTCTAGTTTTGTGTCACATACATTTCTATTTTGCTGTTTCTATTTTAGTTTCTCCTATTAGAACACAAATATTTTCATATACATGTTTTGTTCCTACTGTTTCCCAAGGTATGTATAAGTTCTCCTGCCCATAATTAGTTCTTCAGCTGCAGTTCACTGCCACGGATTAGAAAGCTGGTTTCTGCCTTGATGAAATGTAATGTCTAATAATAGTTTGTCATCATATCTGTCCCTTTCAATTGTAACCTGTACTAAGAAAGCTTTTGTTATACTTCTAGTAGAGCAATGCATAAAACACGCCTGCCTGACATAATAATAAAAGGCATGAGAAACATTAGATTTGCAGAAAGAGAACTGGAAATTTAAGATATTCTGATGTATGTACTTGTTTTGCTTAGTTTTTCTATTAAATAGTCAAACAGTGGGAAAAGAAAATTTAAAGGGCAATTTTCTTGCTTATATTGCTATGGAAATAAACTTAAAATATGCCTGCTGAAGTCTGAAAGTCTGAATAGACGGAGAGGAATGGAGCAGAGGATGATGGGGCAAAGTGGTGGGGACTCAGTGTTTTCTATAATCCTGTATAATTTCTGTTTCTCCTGTGGGCTTGTACAGGGGTTCCCTACCCTTCTGGACCTGTGGCCACATTTGGAAATCTGAGAAATTGTTGTTGGCACCACCGCAACATGATTTCCGTGGAGGATGTTGACATGGGAGCTTAGCTAGTCAACAAAGGGGCAGGCGACAGAAAGACTAGAAGCTGAAAGGGGGAATAGCAAACAAAGGGAGGTAGGGAGAGAGAAAGAGGAAGGCTAGGGATGGGGAAATAAATTGTTTGTGGGAATAGTTACAAAGAGGTTACAAGCTAGAGTGGAGAGGCAGAGAGAGAATAAATGGGTAAGGTCTGTATAGACCCAAGAAAACTGGTCAAGTTCTTCTTCCTGCCTACTGAAAAGCTAATTAGCAGCAGGTTCGGGAAATGGATGAAGACCCTCATCCCTGACTTTTAAAAAACATTATAAATATATTTCTGAAGGGGATAGGGAGGTGAGAGTTTGTAGGCACAATTGGAGGTCTCTATGGGTAGTGAGTTTGGGACATCTGGGTGTGGGTGCAATGAAGGGGACTCTGTTTCTCACAAAAGCAAGTTTCTCCAATGTGTTTATCATCTCTATATGGAGAAAATCAACAGAAGAATAAAATATACTCAGGGCATAGTCAGGAAGTGCAAGATACAGAAAAAAACTGCTGAAACGAAAGAAGATTGAATTCATTCAGGATGGAAGATCACATGAGAATGCTGGTTTGGATGCAGGATGTCACAGAAGATAACTTGTTTGCCCCCAACTCCCTTCTACTGCAACTACTTGTGACTCCAGAAAAGTCTTCTCCACAGACCCAATTCCTGAATAGGGGGTGCAGGACCTCTAGAAGATGGGAAGAGTTGCTTAACCTAGAGCAAAGTCATCTTAGACTAGCACAGTCCTCCAAAAAGACTTTTCAGGGCATACAGGTGGCTGCAGGGTAGAGAAGAGCTCCATTGCGCCTGGATATATCTTTCCCTCTTGCTATCAACTGCTACTGCTGAAAATGTCTGCTGTGGTAAGATTCAGCTTTGCTGAACTGGGCAAGAACCTAGTGTCTGAATTTTCTTTCCCTCCTTCTGGATCCCCCTTCTGTTTGTGCCATAAATTTTAGATTGTACACTGGCAGACCAGACTCTTATCCTTATCTTTTAAGCTACTCTGGAAATATTTTTGGATAAAGAATAAGATAAGTATGCAAACTTAAGCATGCATGCTTAAAGGATGGGATAAGCATCCTATATAAATATAAATATTTCATAAGAACATGTCCTTCTGCTCATGGTATTCAACATCTAACTGCCACAAACTCCCTAGGAAGAAAAAGGGGATAAAAGTGTACACTCAAAAAAGTATAAAGACAACGTTGGTCTCCTTGAAAATCTATGCTAGGAACTGGACAGAGGGAGCCCACCTCTGTTAGCCCATCTTTTGGAAAGTTTTGACACCATAAGAACTGTCTGAGGTGGGACTGCGAGGAACTATCATATGGTTCTGATTCTTCTTGGTGGAGCAATCTCAGGTGATGCCTGGAGATTTTTGTTTGGCACTGTGGCTGTTGTCTTGTAATCTCTCTCAATACTCCATCTTATCTTCTGTGTTATTTAACATATATATTAAACTGCTGGGGTTGTCTGGTGTTTGGGATTATTAGAAAGTTTGTTTGCCCTTCAAACAAGCCATGTCACTCAGATAACATGACAAGCTATGCCCGAGCAGTCAATATGGAAATTATGCCTAGCATGAGTTAATTAAACCATGATGGCTTATTCAGATTTTGTCCTGACCCAATGGGTCCATATGGCCCTGGGAATTCTGACAAAAAAATCTGTAAAGATATGTTATTACCAAAAAACCTGGAAGCAAGCCTGAGCAATGAATTATACTGCCATACAACTTTAGGATCCAATTTTCAGTAGAAATAATCTTATTTATTTATAGTTCTAATCTACCAGTTTTCCGTTTGCAAGGATGAAAGGCAGTTTACATCTTTTTTCTCTTGCAACAACTTTTATCTTCACAACAATCCTGGGAAGGAGGTTAGGCTGGAAGTAAGTGATTGACCCAGTCACCCAGTGAACTTCATGACTGAATCGGAACTGGCATCCAGATTACCTGATTCCCAGTGCAACACTCTTACCACAACTGCAAGCTACCATAGCAAGAATAATTCATCAATCTTTATTTTGACTTAAAAATAATTTAATATATTGAATATTCATAATAAATAAAAGCTAACACACATTTTTTAAATCGTGGAGTAAAGGAAGACATCACTAAGCAGAGTTTCACCAAGTAATATTAAAAACACACTGTTTATTACCAGATTGACACTACTATGACAAACACTACTCATGAATTTCTGTCTGGCATTTTTATAGCTTTTATTGCCTTCAAGCAGTGTCAGAACAGTGTCAGATTGTGCCAATCAGAGCCTCATACATAACAGCAAGAAAAATATCATCTTTATAGTTCAACAAATCACCCAGTAACCCATAGAGAAGAACAACCGTATACTTCAGTGTAAAAATATTAAAAATCGGTCGTTAACTCCCGGTATGCCCCAGACAGCATGGGTGACTGGGAAACGGTAGGAGATGTAGGCCCTTTTATGTCTAAACATGCACAGGGTTATATAGCGGTAATCCCCATTGGGCACATTGGGATTACACCTAAGTAGACACATATAGGATTGCACTGTTAATGAATTACTTACCAAGTTCCACAAACACATTATGGAACTGTAATACTAAACATCTTGCCAATATATTTTAAAATATTATTCACTGGGTTTTAATATGATTTCTAGGCTGCTTTTTTAGTTTCTTTGGTCTCTAACATTCCAAAAAGTCTAAACAGGAAGAAAAATAAAGTTCAAAAGTGATATGGAAAGCTTCTAACCAGAGGCTGGTATTTACCCTTAAAAGCTACTGAAAAGTACTCCCTAACTGAATTGCTCTGTTTAAATGGTTAGGAGATTTCAAAGAAAATGGTCTAGAAAGTATTTGATTGTATAGCTTAACTTCAGGAAGCACATTTTTAAAAAGATATGGCAAACTATAAATAATTACCTCTTTGTATTTTTCAGCAAATCGGCCAAACTTTTCTATCATTTCAGCCACAAAAATGACATCCATTTTGTCAGAAAAGTTTGCTGCTTCAACAGTGTAAGCTAACAGCTGTCGAGCTGTTGCTACAGCATTAGTGAGGTTCAGGGGCATCTGTAAGGCACACAAAACATTACATAGCTGACATAACCAGAACAAATCAAGGCTCTTAAGCAATCTAAGTAAGAGTTAGCCATAAAGGCATGTGTTGCAATGCCTGTTGATTTAGACAACCTATATACACTGTATTTTAAAAGCGTGACAAAATTTGATTATCTAAAACTCCAGAAGGAATAAGGATGTGTAATAGTTCCTCACCCATCATCTAACACCAGTTATGCTGCTTGAAAGAGCCTCAGATGCTATACTGTTCAGAGATAGCTACTTTTGATTTGACTCTATAGTTTCTGGTGTATAAAATGTATGCTTGTTTACATAATATTTCAGCTGCTCTGAGGGCTGTTGTTGAAAAGCAGGATATAAATCTCAATAAATACAGAATGCACCCAAAATACTGTAACATAAGCAGTGAGTCAATTGTATTGACTCACATCTATTGCACAAGAATATAAGCTTGTACATTATGAAGAAGTCTTCTTTAGGGTGAAATAACAAACCAATTCGTACTTCACATGGCTGTAAAAACTTTAGCTATGTTTTTAACAAATATATTTATCAACATTTGCTTTAAGCCTGTAATGGACTTGGGATCAGTTTATTTTTAATGACATTTCCTGATGTGTTCATTATTAAGTCCCTTCTGTTATATTATCATGATTGTTTTCAAAACACCACCACATGAAATTCTTACTAATATTCAGGACTTACATGGGGGTGAATAATTTTTAACTAATTTTGCCTGCTGGCATGTTTAAAATGGGTCTGGAAAACCCCTGAGGAGTAATGGGACATGATATGACAGCCTTCCTGGAAGGCTGTATAGGGGCAGAAAAAAAAAATGCCATTTTAGCTCTGGGAAAGAAGCATGCCATTGCATCCCATCTCTTCCAAGGAATTTACGAGATAAAACTAAGTATGTTGCAAACCCATACCAACTTTTTAGACCCATTTTCCCAGTGCAGCCTCCCCTACAACCTGGAAAAGCTGCTCTTGAAGATCAAATAATAACATGGGTTAAAATTGATACAGGAGAAGGGATTACATTTGGAAGGTATTAGTTCTAATGCACGAAGCCCTGAACAACTTGGGCCAGGATGCCTTCTTCCTCACCAACCTGCTCAGTTACTGAGGTCACTGGAGGACATGCTCCTGGTTACACACAGATCATGACTCAAGTGGAGTCGACCAGGAGAAGGAAGCCTCTTCAGCGAGAAAGGAATTCCCTGCCTCAAAAGGTCAGGCAGGCATCACCACTGTGCTGGGAAGCCTTTTCTTGCTGATCAGGCACAGTCTTTATGACGTATTGTTTTAAATATTTTTTTACACTCTTCTATAAGCTGTTTGGATGTAGAGTGGTACAGAACTACTGGAAGGAAGGACGGACAGACAAACAGACAAAATTCATTACCTATCCCAAGTAACCTATGTGCACACAAAGAGCAATTTGTTTCTTACCATAATCCTTTAAAAGATTGATAAGTGTGCATGTTTTTCAATAAATTTGAAAAAATCCTTCAAGAGTTTATTTGTAAACAATTTCACAAAAAATATGGGCAAAGAGTGAGTAACCTGATTAAACATATACAGGACTCGAGTGGCATCATTTGCATATTGGCAGCGAGAGTAATCCTCTCCAGCCCAGAATCCTCCCCTATCACATCTGCGCCAAGCTCTTTTCTCGTCCTGAGAGTTGCCAGTATATATTCCACTGCCAGCCGAGTAACGAGTGCACAGCAGGTATGCAGTAATGCCTGCCAATGTTCGGGGCCACCTAAAGAGTTGAAGGGGAAAAAAGCAGACAAATTTACCCAGCTATGATGAAAAAAATATGTAAACAGAAGAATTAATTACTATGCTATGACAAAGTGAAAGATACTTCAGATTAGCATTATCTCTGTGAAAAACAGAAAAGGTTCTTTGGCTAGACCCCAAAACTGTTATGCTCTCTGAATGTTAATGTTAGAAGCATTCTAATCTCTGTACCCTTTTGTTCAGAGACTCCTTCAAATTTGGGTGGGTTGAGAGAAGTGATTACATGCATCTTTCACAAAGAGATTTGTTCACTTCTGACCCACTTTTTTTACCCACTTTTGTGGGTGTACTTCCAAATTAATCTTCTGTGCTGAAAAATAATGCCCCCTGCATAATACTTGGCAACATGTTCATATATTTATTAGACATCAGTAGTTGCTCCTCTAATTGCCAAACCCAGGGACAGGTGAGGGGCTGGGTAGGTAGACATCTATGGCAATGAGACTTGGTAAAACATTCCTTGAGGTGAGGCAGAGAGCTGTGGTCACTCTAATAAGGTAGTTATCAACCAGGGCATATAATTCTTTCATCTGCCAGTTTCCTCCTCCTCTTCCATCATCATCAGCATCCTAATATTAATACTAATACTATCATCATCTTAACTTTCTGTTGGTCAGAATCAGTACATAAAGGATGAATAAAAATGAGGCCTTCATACAGTACTTTTATGTATCCCAGATGATCCATAGAACACTGTTCACAGAGGTAACACATATGGAACCATCTAGCATGAAAGAGCAAGCTGCTTTTTAAATTTGGAGAGTGTTTGGTAACATGGGTATGTTCTCAGTATTAGGCAGGCTTGCCTGCAACCTGAAATGCAGTCAGAGCAGGGCATTCTGAGAAAAAGTGAAAGTGGCATTGGGTTGGATGCAGACCTAGGCATCAGATTTAATCTGGCAGATGCAGACTTCCCCATACCCTCCATCCTGTGGAAGCCCCTCCAGATGCTAGGAATAGAGGGACCTACTAAATCAGGAAGGCGGATCAGGGGCAAAGGGGGATCCTGTCAAATTAGGTAGAGTTCCACTCATGGAAGATGCCTCTGATTTTCAGGGATCCTCCCTGCCCCACACTCAATAGTCCATCTCATTCAGCAAGATTCTTGACCCCGCTGTGTAACAGAGGGAACACTTTGAAGAAGAAGAGATGGTCATCTCTCCTAGCCTAGCTGCTGATGGCAAGACAAATGACATTTGATTCTACGTGAAAAGTATTTATCAAGAAAATGCTTGCAGTTCATTGGCAAATATGTACTGGTTGTACTTTTAAAAAGTATTGTTTCCTTGGAATTAAGCAATTATTTAATATCTCCCTTTTGGGTTTGTTGGATACATTTTATCTTATTCTTCTCTTATCTTTGCAGTAATTTAATAAAAGTGAAATCGGACAGCACTCTAATTAAAGTCACAATAATAATTGTACTTGTCAAACAGAGTACCAAACACTTTGACTTCTCTCAGAACAGGGACAAACATTATTCAAGGGATTATGTTAAAGAGCTTATAAACCTTGTGAAGAATATGTTTAATCTCTCAGTGCCATAACACAGAAACTTAATTTAATTACTTGAAGTTTGAAGAACACATATTTTCTCTCACATCTTTTTGTTTAATAAATGAAACCACAGTGAGGCAAAGTAAAGTAGACTGATAAAGGTAACCAGAAGTAAGATGAATTATCTGAAACAGTCCCTTTAAAAACTGAAGCCTGCAATCCTATGTGCATATATTTGAAGTAATTCTAACTGTGCTGCTCCAACTTACTTCAGAATAAGTATGTGCAGGATTATAATGAAAATCAATATGACTAGAGAGATACTATTCTATTCCTCCCTTTTTTTCTTTTTTGGCCTTAGAAGATAGTTATTTATTTTCATTTGCTTATCAACTACATCTTTATTAACCATTATGCACAGAGGTGCCCTGATGGAAATTGACAAATTGGCACAAGGATCATGTGACCTGGGCTGGTGCTAGCTGACTCCACCACCAATTCTATCTGTGGCTGTTGCCTAAGAGACAATATAACTGGAGAATTCCTTATCTCTGGCAAGGGACAGTATGGAGGAATTTTTTCATTCCATAAAAAGCAGACCTGGCTCAAGCTTAAGGATATGCCAGAAGTGATATTGGGTTTGGACCAGGTGTGTGAAACTCAGTCATGCAATGGAATACGGTAAAGTTTGGATATCTGTCACATACCAGTAGAAATCATTCACATTCTTTGATATGAAGGCATCTAAGAAAAAGATGCAACTTAATTAATCCAATGCAGAATGGAAAATATAGGGACAAAGACTAGAACTATGGGTGGGGGGCATGCTGTAGCATGTTTTGTAGGAGCCTCCTTCCAAAACTGTTCCTGAAGATACACTGTAATGTTTGGTGCATGTGCTTGGTGTTACAAAGAATGGCTTAGGCAGCTGTTGAGACTGAAATGTTGTGAAAGAGTCCTCTAGTCACCTATCAATGGTGCAGGTCATTTTCCTTTTCCCTCTGGAAATGGCGTAAAGGAGCCAAAAAGTGTATCATTGTTCTTAAGGGGGTGGCCCAACAGATGTATATTTTTAGCACCCTGCACACAACCAGCATGTGCTAGGACCTATCCAAAGGGTGGGAAGTTTGAGGAATAGTGTTAGGATAAGTAGCAAAAGGGCAATTTGCATGGCATAGTAATGTGTGAGCTGCTTCCATGTATTGTAAACAACTTCCAATTGGACATTGGGAACATGATTTGCCAACTCACACTGAAGATGTTGGGGCTAAATAGCTGGGTCATTAATCCTGCAACAAACCATAGGTTAACTTCTGGGGTGTTGAACCCCTATATAGCACTGCTGTACAGGTTGACAGGTCATACTGACAACCTCCAAGTGCAGTGACTGAAGACTGTTTACAAGAGTAGAAGCAGTTTGCAGGTGGTATTTATCCTTGTGAATCATGGGCTAAATAATGATTTACCACTATGATGTCTGAAGTGAGCCAGAGTGTTTCCCTTAGGAATAAAAAAGGGAATGGTGTGCAGTATCTGAATTGCTCTTGTGGAAAATGTCATCATTTAAGATTGTGTGCTCAGTTCTTATGATTCCTCCAGCTGATGTCACTGTTCTTGGGAAGCCCTTAGGAGACATCAGCCTGAGTGAGACAGTTCTCGGTGGCTTGAAGGGAAACATTCTTAGGCCACAATGGGAAGGCTCATGTTGTGCACACATGCAGGCTCAAGAAAGCTGCATTTCTGTGGAATCATTTTAGGTACAGGTGTGTTCTAAGTAGTTTGCTGCCTGTCTTGGATAATAAGTGTTTAGGCATATTTACTTAGAGCAAAGATCAGGTATCTTTCTACATTCAGCGATGAGATTGCTTGAGGCTAAGCTAAATGTACAACAGTACAACAGCTGAGCTTAGCTGAGCTGATTCCTTTAAAAATGTAAGCATGCAATACCATGAACTTGCATTTGGTTGGCATTAACTCCAACTGAACTGGAAGGGACTAATTATTCTGAATTAAGTCCTCTACCTATCCGGAAGTTCAAGCAAAGCACTAAGAAGAGGAGGAAGCTCAAATGACCAATTCCACCAACTTGTATAACCTCCTGAGGGCCAAATCCAAGGAACTTTCACCCACATCTTTAAGTGAAGAGTGTCTCCATCCTCAGGTGCAATGGTCCCAGAGAGGAGAACTTCCACAGCAGCATTAACTACTGGGGTTTTCAATTTCTTCAAGGTTTTGTGGAGAAGAGAACCCAATGTCTCTCTTATTTTGGAGTAGGTATAGTACATTCCAATTTTTTTCTAAGATAGAAAAGCAAGGCACTTCCTTGTTAAGCATCTTAGACTCTAGTAACACTTGACTAAGACTATTCAAGAAGACTATGAGAAGATGAAGATGGCTAAATAGGAGAATTCTGTTGGGCTGGCTGCATGCCCGGGCAAGTCATTGCTTTAGAAAGAAAATGAAGTGCTCAGTATTGAATAGACTTGTGTTGGAATGATCCTTCTTTAAACTATGATTTGACAATTTGCCATCTTCCTAATCTATTCAATTGAGCGTCTCCTAGTTAAAAACCCCCAGTCTCTATAAGTATTTTTCACCATTAAACCCATGGAGAGAACAGAGGGGAAATTGAAAGAAACCAAAGAATACTGAGAAGAGGGCCTGGGGTACACAGGTTATAGCAGAAAGAAAACAAATTAAAAGGTGATAAGATCCAAAGAAGGAAAGCTAATTAAAAACAGGCAGGGGTCAGTTAACAAAAATAAATGTAGGAAAAGCGGATCTGTAGGAGAGATTCCAGTTCTTGCAAGTATCACTGTCTTGGGTGAAAGGCAAGGAAGAACAAAGTATAGAGTCAGTTGCCTTTAGAGCCCAAAGCAAGTTCTAGATCACATGATCCCTGGTTTTCCTGGGAAGAAGGTAAAGCTAACCCACTATTGGATACCTCTGCCACATCAGAGACAAAATCAATTTGCTATTTTGCATTTTGTCATCGTAAGTAATAACTGGATTCTGTTAGTGAATGATGCACAAAACATGCAGCTGTAGGAAAATATATTGCTGAGTAAACAGTAGCTAGACTTAAAATATTTCAAAGGACAATCAAACTAGAATGAATGAATGACTTCTTTATTTGCCTTAAAATACTATTTTCCCCTAAAGAAATGCATTTTAGTTATACTACTTCAATATAAAATGGCTTCTAAGCAGAAACAAAATAGATACTTCCGGCTATGCTCTAGCCATCCAAACCAAGAACAATAAAGGTAAATGTTCCTAGGTGCATTTATAGCCATCTGCTCAGAATAATTTCTGTTACAAGTCAAATGCTGATTTCTGCATGGCCTCAAAAGGTGAAAAATAACTCTTTGTTATTGCTCTTTCTGTGCTGCCTTCCGCAGTAAACCCAACTCTAGCGAACCCCCCTGATAAAATGATGTTTCCAGAAACTGTGTTTCCTTCCAGTGAATTCCAAAGGGGCAAAATCCTATTACACTGAACAATCACTGAGCAGCACAACAGGTTAATTTAATAGAAAAGACTAGAAAATAAGCTTTTGCCATCTGGTTTTACCTCTAATTACGACTCCAAAAAAGAACAATTCACAATTGTATTTAAGAAATTATTTAAATTGAAATGCACGCTTTCTCAAGAACTCTACCTGAAATGTTTTTATGTTCTTTTACATCTGGTCTCAAGGTAGCAATTGTTATGAATGGAGCAGGCTCCACCAGGTAAATGACTTGGATCCAGAGTACTATGTAGTTCTATATATCTCCTGGAATGTTACACTCCTCCATCCTGTTTCACAAATTGGTTTTGAAATCTCAATAGAGATTTGTGATTCTATACTGTGTATGTGTTGCGGGGAGGGGGAGAACAAAAAGTATAGATCGCCTTTGGATGTGTGCAATTAATTATGCAGGACTTTGAATCTAGGTCTTAGCAAATAGGTAACATAAAATTTTGTTGTATATTTTGAGAATGTAAAACTTATACCTGGGGATAAATCTGACTGTAGATTTTTGCATTACTAATCACTCGGGTCAACTCTGGCAAGCAAGGAATGCCTCTGGATGAACAGGAAGAAAAGGCTTTAGTGGAAGTAAGGTTTGCTATTTTGAATTACCAATGTTGTGCAACTGATTAACACAGGTATATGTAAGCAAGCAACCTGCAAACGATCTGTGGACCTGTGTGTAAAGTTATCTTGCTGAACTCAACATAGCAATTAATGACTTTCACTGAATGCACCTATGATGCTCACACATTATGGTGATTTTCCCACATGGAAATTAAATCCACACAGGAACTCATAGTGGGTAAATTGATCCTGAATGGGGAAGACAGTATGAGATTAAAAAGCTATGAACAAGTATCAATAAAAGACAATGGCTGTGACTTCACAGAATACACCACTGCCAAAAAGTGTAAAAGTATTACAACGGAGTTTTAAAAAAGAGTTACCTTACACATAAAGAATCTGTGTAAGAATCACAGGTGTGATAACTGGCACCTCCAGAGGCAATATGCTGTTAGAGTGACCAGCAGCAAAGACATTAGCATGAGAAAAAGTAAAGAAAGAAGTAAGTACAAAATGAAGATAAGCATGTAAAACGTCCAGTTGCAAGTATAGTCAGGTTAGAGTCAGTGCAGCATAGGACCACAAGATGGTGACTGGATTGCAGGAAAAGCCATATGAGGCGAGACTGAGGGAACTGGGTCTTTTCAGCCTGGAGAAGAGGAGACTCCAAGGGGATCCGTTGGCGACATGTAGGTATGTGAGGGGTTGTCACACGGAGGTGGGTAGAGACCTGTTCTCCCCTGCAGAGGGCAGGACACGCTCCAACGAAGCAAAGCTCAGGGAACCAAGGTTCAATTTGGATGCCAGGAAGCACTTCCTGACAGTTTGGACCCCAAGGGTTCCATGGGCTTCCATGGGAGGTGGCTGAAGCCCCATTGGTGAGGTTGTTCAAGGACAGGCTAGACATGCATATGGTAGGCAAGTGGTGAGTGGAGCCGGCTAGAGCCTGGGGTCAGACTAGACGGCTCGGGAGGCCCCTTTTGACTGGGTCACCAAACTGAGGAAATCCATCAGATTCTCACCTCCAAATAGGGTTCCCCACAAAGTTATGCAGTTCTGTACCACCTTTTACTGTACTTCCTTTTAGGTATAGAATAATGACACATCAATTGCACTCTGTTTGAACATGGCTGTTTCATAGTAATATACATACTGGTTCTCAACATGAAATGAACAAATTGTCCAAGCTAAATTATGTCCCTAGATAAAGTTTAACATTTCAGCTTAGGCCAGTATCTCCCCCTCAAGTCAAATCAAGCCTATATGATATACATTTTTAAATGTAAATATTAATATGAAATCACAAGTGTTCTTTTGAATGATTATCCTAAGAGTTTAAGGAACATCTGGAGCTTTGCACTAATACTCTGATCACTGTAACTAGAAAATGTCATCTCAGCTTTCCACCAATAAGCAGGCTGAACTTTGGTTCTGCATGTCCTTATCTAATGCAATTGAGAGCTATGATAACCCATTCTTTGCTATCATGAAGGAGAACTGAATCAGGTAACACTTGAGCTTAAAAGCAGTCTATAATAACAGCTAACGTAAACTCCTTCAAAGCTGTCATCACTAACCCGAAGTCGCCTTTATTGTTGACAACCCTTTCCGGTGGACAGTACTGTGCAGAGCTGTTTAGTACTACAATGTCAATGGTCCTTGAATTATTCCCACGTCTGGTATGCACATGACACCCCCAGCTTCCAGTAGATCCAGCCTGAATATTTGAGATGGTCAGGGCACTAAAGTGATAAAGGTAAGACAAATGTTCAAAATCACATAAAACTGTTTTTAAAGGGTGAACTCTGTTAGAAAGTCAGTCTGCTTTGAGTGAATGCATAAGAAAACAGAATACTCAGACATTAAAGACAATTTAAAGCCTAGTGAGAGGCAATGTATCAGTCTATAATCCCACAGGTATTGGGAAAGGTACTCTTTTCCTGAAAATGGCAACAACTATTCTACTAACCAGAACATCCTCTGATTTATTGTTTAAATAGTGCTATGAGACAATGAACTTCTAGTAAGCCTGTTCTCCTACTTTTCTTACCTACTATAAAAAGGATCCATTGTTAAGGTATAAAATATCTGTCAAGTTCAATTGATCTAGAAAACTGATAATTGTACAATGCTACGGGCCAGTATGGTTCTATCCCCTGGGAGAAGAATGAGGGGAACCAGATGAATCTCCAAAGGATTACTTTGCAAAATATATTCAGCAGCTGACTTTAGAAGCTACTTCAAATAAAAGACTAGAGTTGACCATGATGAAGTAGGAAGGTGTTTTTCACAACTCACAATCAAGCTGTTGCGATCTGCACATTTTACTTATAGTGTGATCCAAAGAAGTATAATTAAAACACACACAAACCATACTTACCTTGCAATGAGCGAACAGTTATGAATCATGTTTTTTTCAACAAAAATCCCCTGGGCTTCATCAGTTTCAATGATCTTCCCATCCTGATACCACAGAACCTGCATGTCCTGGTCAATATATGAAGCCATGCATTGGAAAGGCAAACTGTCTCCTTCAAATACAACCTGACGATGAGAGGGAGTCATGTAGAAAGATGGTAACTCCAGAGGAGGATCTATTTAACATCAAAACAAAACATGCACTATGTTTTAGAATGACCCTATTTATCAGAGGACAAATTGTAATGCATGTAAGTTTGAAATAAAAAATAAAATAAGCATTTTGTATAAGCAGCAGGACCAAGCTGAAGGATATATTATGCAGATCAAGAACCACTCTGCATGTACTTTTACATATACAGTGCTTAGTCAAGGGTCTGTGATCTACTGGTAACATTCAATACTCAAGAATTACCTTGCTAACTCAATTATTTAAAGAAAAACCTGTCCAAAAGGAAGCAAACAATAAAGCCTGATATAGATGTTATTTAAACAGTTCCATCAATATTAAACCAATTTCAATTTTTTTCTTTTTGTTTCCTTTAAGAACTAAAAAAAAAAAAGAATAGAATACAAACTCTATTTGATACATTTTATAAAGCTAATTGGTACTTTTGTATTAATAGACATATAATTCTTTAAAAATCTATTAACAATTATCTGCTTCACATTTCGCTACTCAGAAGAGAAATTACAGTTTTATTATTATTTTCTTTTAGGTATGTCACCTATCATCTTATTTTTAAAGAGGAAAGAATAGCTATGACTTACTAGATAGCACATGCTGAAAAAGGAGTTTAATTCACTTCTTGGCACAATTGCTGCATATTATCATAATAATTAGTGCAAAAGCAGTGAATCAAAAGAAAAGCAGAGGAAAAAAATCAAGTGGAAAAATGTGCACTGTTCTTACCACATGTTAGAAGTCCCTGCTTAACACTCAAAATGGGTTGAGCCTGCAGAGACTTGGGATAGACACATCTAGTCTCACGAACAGTTATATTTCTTTCCTGCAACCACTGTTGCATCCACAACATATTACAATCACACAGGAGATAATCGGTCTGAAATTCTCTGGAACACACAAAGAATAGATAGTGTTTCTAAAGAGGCAAAATTCTATTGACTCTGGTGTAAGGTCAGAGTGCATAACTGAGATCTTTAAAATACTTGTAATTAAGACAGCTGAAAATACCAAACTATCAATTCCAGCCTTACAAATAAGAAATATACAACTGGTTTTACCAGCCTACTTTCCCATGCATAACTGTATTTAGCCACTTGAAGCAATATAATGGCCTAAATAACAACAACCCTCATTTACCAAAACATCTGTCAAGAAATCCAGGAGCTTCACTAAGTCAATAATCAATCTCCCCCGCCCTCCCACCCCCATTTTACTCTTTCTAGGTTCCAGGCCTTTAAGGTTAGCACTGAATTCTTGCCAAAATGTGACTGATTGATGTCAACTGAGCTGCAGTGAAAGGCTTTCATCCCAAGCCCACTTCTGAAAGCTGCAGAAGTCATTTGGAGGCTTGATTCTGAATAAATTATTCAATCAGCCAAGGATTGGCTAAGAAAGCTCATCTCACTTTTGTCAAAGACTTAGCTGAAGATATAAAGAAAAGGTGGGGGTATACATGTATGTGAATGCATGTGCTTCCCTTTAGTCTATATTTTCGTATTAATTCCTATCTTTACTCTTGTCTTCATTCTTTATGGTTTAGAGAATCAAAAGTCTGGAGGCAAGTAGATTGGCCTCTGCTCTACAGGGGACCCATGTGAAAGTAATTTATAAAAGAAGTCTAGGTGATGCTATGTTGTTTTGAACTGGAGCAGTGTTCCGAAGTTTTTCTGTGCCATTTGTACACCTTTTTATACTTCTCTATTTTCTGTGTAAATAAGCTGATTCTATACCATTAGATCTAGGTGTGTTTTCTTCCAGGTGATCGTCAGTACTAAATTGTGAGCCTTCTGGTAATTGCTAATCACTAACTGTAAAATTCTGTTCTTTGGGGTTATAATGGAGAGAACTAGTTTGCACTTATTCCTGTGCCCTAACTGGATTCTGAAAGGTTTGAGTCTCCTTGCTCTAGCTGAGGAGGATATTAAGGTATACTGACAGTCTACTGGGTGCTTGCCTGCTGCCACAGCACTACAGAGAGTTTGGGTAACCCTCTCTCCCTTCTTTCTCTACTTCCATACCTGGTTATCTGGAGCTAATTTATATTTGTAGCAGACAACCAAATGAACAGCTACATATACTCATGACATTTACACATGCTTAGAACACTATCAGTGGTGTTTATAAAGAATTTTAGATTTTAGTAGACAACTTTAATCAGTAGAAAAGTTATTATGCTTATTACAACATTGTGCTCAAATAATAACTTTTAACTTGGTTACGTTTGACACTGAATTTTAACACCAAAATCTACTGAAGCATTAAAGATTACACAAAAAAAAGCCTCCAAGATTTGTACTTACAGAGACTTCAGTGAAGTAAGATGATCAAATGTTCCTTGCGCAAGTGTTGAAAACAAATTTCCTGAAAGGTTGCTAAAACATTTGAAAACATTGACATTAGGTTTGTGCAAATGTGCTTCCCAAAAGAAAGGAAGGGTGGACGGACAGATGGAAGGATGCTGCAGTGTGGAATGTTCTACTTCCAGATTCCAGAAACTGCATTCCATCTTGATTACCTGTCCCCACACAGCAAGGTTTCTGGTTTTATCTTCAACAGTTAGTCAACATATAATTATTTGGTCCTAAGGGTGCCATTCTGGGATCCAATCACAAAAGATCTTTTATGTTTTGTTTTTGTTTCCTGACCCCTAGCAAGCAAGTTCCAGCAAAGGAGCAATCAGAGCAAACAAAGAAAGTTAACAGGAGTGTAGCAAAGGTGTTCAGCAGGGGAAGTCCCTAATTCTCCCCCCCACCATTATATACTAGTGGGACTCTGCTGTATCTCTTCAGGGTAGTCAGAGTGATTCCAATACATTCAATAAAGCAGAATCAAAAAGGAAACAAAGTCTATGAATGGAAAAGACTCCAGTGGACTACCATGGTCTGTGCATTTTTATTTTTTATTTTGGCCTGAAACCAACACAGCCTATATGTGCAACAAGTACAAGCTGGTTGCCCTGTTAGAAGAAAGTGGAAGTACTGAAGCAGCGAGTGTACATACTCTTCAAGGAAAGAAGAGAGAGGACAAAGAGTTATTTGACAAAGCAGTGGAACTGCAACAATAGAGTAAACTACAGTAGCTGGAAGAGCTATAGCAAGCTAAGTCAAAAGAGGAGAATCCTGCAGAAAGGGAAAATGAAACAGAGGAAAGTACAGGAAACTCACTGGAAAAGGGTGATGGGTAGGAGCAAAAGAACTAGCAGATACTCTACACCAGTGGAAGCAGTAAAATTAAAAAAACACTTTTAGGTACTTGAGGATGGGACTGGAGCACAGCCAGTAGTCCTCAAACCTTTTCAACAGGGGGCCAGCTGAAAGATGCCAGTGATGGGCACGGGCTGCCAAGGCAGTGCGGGTGGGGCGGGGGTGCGGGCCAGGCTGGGGTGGTGCCTGCGCGCAGTGAGGAAGAAACAGGCACACACGGAGATTGTTTTCTCCGAGTGAGTCCAAAACTATCTCCTTGTGAGCAAGCTGCCGCACTGCGAGGCACCGCCTTGCTTGTGCGCCTCGCACGAGTATAACTGGAACTTGGAGGGATTCAGTAACTGAAAAGATATAGCTAGTACAGGAAGAACAGGAAGAAAGGTAGAGTCATGCTGTATGTTAAAGATAAATATCACTGCACATAAATACAGGAGAATGTGAATTAAAATAGATGGAATAAAGAATAAAAGGAACATGGTGGTCAAGTCTACTACCAACTAACCAGACAAGAAGACAAGGATGAAACTTTTGAAAAGCAAATTGCCAATGTTTCAAGACAGTATGGTGTAGTAGTAATGAGGGAGTTTAATTTTCCCATTATCTATTGGGAGACTAATTCTGCCAAATATGGCTCCTTCAAGAAATTCCTGATTTGTGTCACTAATAACTTCCTTCTGCAGAAAGTAGAGGAAACAACCAAAGGAACAGCTATCCTTGACTTGGCTCTAACCAGCAGGAAGAAAGCAGCTGCTGCAGGAACTCTGGAGCAAAATGATCATGTAATACTTGAATTTTTGTTCTAAAGAAAGTAAAACTTCAAGCATAGGCAAATGAGTAAGTACCTTGAATTTCAGGAAGGCCAATTTTGATACATTCAGAAGGACCCATGGCAAGTTACTGTAAAGAGAAAAGGGGGCTGATAGATGGTATTTTTTATAGGAAATTGTAAAGGTGCAATTACATACAATTCCAACAAGAAAAACCACAGAAGACAATGGAAAAAGCTAATGTGGCTCCACAAAATACTTAGAGGTGACCTGAAAACAGAAAAGATACATATAGGAAGTGAAAGAAAGGCCAGGCTACAAAGAATGAGTTCAGGTAGGTGGTACAGAACTGCAGAACTTTGTGGGGAACCCTATTTGGAGGTGAGAATCTGATGGATTTCCTCAGTTTGGTGACCCAGACTTGGCCTATTTTCTCTCTGCCCAAAGTGTTTCTCATGTCAAGCATTTACACGGGTTTCTGGCAAGAAGTGAGTCCACAAAGCCAGTATGTAAACACAATACCTGCCCGCCCACTGTGTAAGCAGAGTTCTGCTTCTGCATATATGACTTGCAGGTTTTGTGTACTTTGTGCAAATTGCATTCCTGAGCATTCGTGGACTTCATCTTGGCTTGGCTCACTTCCTGGCAAGGATTGAGTGTGGGAAAGAAGTCCAATGAGCACAAGATAGCTGGATGCCGGCCCAATCTTCACATACCTAATTTCAGAAATGGCGTCAGAAAGGCTAAAGTGAGAATGAGCTGAGGCTAGCAGGGGATGCTAAAAGCAACATCCACAACAAAACCTTCAAATATATGAATGGCAAAACACACACACAAGAAATGATGGTTCAACTACTCAATAAGGCAAAATATCAGATAACAAAGAAAAGACCAAAGTGCTCAATTCCTGCCTTGGCTCCATTTTCACTCAAAAGAAGGTGTATGATCTCCCTGGCAAGGGGAAGTACAAGTTGGGCAGGACTGAAACTTGAGATTGATAGGCAAATGGTCAAAGAACACCTCATTACTTTGAGTTCAAATCTCCAGAGTCTGATGAACTGCATCCTAGAATAATAAAGGAGCTGGAGGAAGAATTCTCAGAACCACTGTCTATCATCTTTAAGAAATCATGGAGAACAAGGGAAGTGTATCAGAGCAGATCATAAAGCAGGCAAGCTGCAAACACCTTGAAAACAATGCAGTAATTACTAGAAGCCAATATAGATGTGAGAAGAGCAAATCCTGTTCTGCTTTTTTTGATCAAGGAACCTCTCTGTTGTACTGTGGGAATTCTGTGGACATAATATACCTTAGCTTGACAGCAAATCTTTTGACAACATGCCCCATGATATCATGATTAGCAGATCAGCTAAAAGAGGGCTAGATGGAACAACTATCAGGTGCATCCACAGCTGGCTACAGAAACAGACTATAAAAGTGCTTATTGATGGCACCTTCTCAATTCAGGGAGAGGAAATGAGTGAGGTACTGTAGGGATAAGTCCTGGGCCTAATGACACTCAGCCTTTGTATTAACAATTTGAATGAGGAAGTACAGAGAATGCTTATCAAATCTGCAGGTGACACAGAACTGAGCAGGATAACTAATACCCTGGAAGACAGAAACAAAAATCAAAGCAATCTTGGTAGGCTGGAGCATTGGGCTAAAAAGAACAGAATGAAATATGATAGGATAAATGCCAAGTCCTGCACCTAGGAAAAAGAAACTAAATACATAGGTATAAGATGGAGGAATATTTGGCTCAGCAATAAAAAAAATTAGAAGGGTATTGGTATAGTTGTAGATCACATGCTGAATGTGAGTCAACAATATGATGTGGCTGCAAAAAGGGCGAATGCTCTTTTGGGCTACTTTAAAGGAAGTATCACTTCCAAATCAAATAAGTACTAGTTCCCCTCTACTCAGCCCTGGTTAGGACTCATCTCAAGTTTCAGTTATGAACACCAGTTTAAGAAAGATGCAGACCAGCTAGAAAAGGTTCAGAGGAGGACAACAAGGATGATTCATGGACTGGCAACAAAGAAATGAAGAGCACTGGGCATGTTTAGCCTGAGAAGATCCAGGGGAGACATGATAGCACTCTCTAAGTACTTTAAAGTTGCCAAGGTTAATGATCCCAGAATACAGAACATGGGCTCAAGTTACCTGAAGTCAGACTCTGGCTGAACATTAGGAAAAACTTCCTAAGTATCACAGCAACATCACAGTAGAACCAATTACCTAGAGAGTTTGTGGGCTCTTCCACAGTGGAGGCATGCAAGATGTAGCTGGACAGCCATCTGTTAGAGATGCTTTAACTTTTTTGGGGAGGATGGGACCCAATGGCCTTACTGACTCCTTCCAACTCTTCTATGATTCTATACAAATGATGGGATACCCAAGCCAGCTGATACCTCCCTCTTCTGTGTAAAGGTATCTGCAAGACATGCTGCTGTCTTGGTAGCAAGGAGAACAGACATTCCTATTAAAATATATAATATGTATTTCTCAGAGCTCAGAAAATTTGCAGTGCTGTAGGCAAATTATGGAAAATGGAATGTGAAAAAATGAAAAATCCAGTATCTTCAGCAAAGTGCCAAATACTAACGCATTCACTTATGTCATACCTCCAAAACCAAGAAACAACTAAAATCAGATTTCAGATTTCATACTGCATTTCTGCTGTACCAAAAAGGTGTTTAGTGCTTGATGGCTAAATACAAAGTACAAGGTTGCACATCATAGTTTTCTACAAACAATTAAAATGGGGCATCTGGACAGAGGGTAGGGCAGGGAAAAATGCAGGACATTCAGAGATCCCCCCGCAAAAAAAAGTCTAAGTAAATCACCAGCTGCAATGCTGGTAACATAGCATATAGTAAAACCTGGTATGTGGTAAGAGTAGTTAATACTCAAAATAAAAAAATATTACTAGTGATGAAAGAAAATCATTCAAAAGAGGGCAGGATGTGAACTAAACAAATTAATGCTTGTAGTGTAGAAATCGCCAGGGCATTATGAGTGGAGCCCACAACCTCTCCTAATTTCAATCTTATCTCGTAATGTGCAGCACCAGCTTTCTTCTGCCAGTTCTGTCCTTCCCTATTATTGACAGTTCCACACACACATCAAGTCATGAAAGCTGGGTTGTAAAAAACAGCATCTGTGGCTTAAATAAAGGGTTTTTTCAAGCTTTTTCTGCAAGTCTGATTTTTTCTAGGTTAGTCCAAAAAGTTTTGGGAAGTCAATATATTCTTAATTAATATTGTAGTTTACTCTTATTCCCTATTATAACAAACAACATTGAAGCATTACCACCCATTATTTTTTGTTAAAGGTTGCATCCCTTTAAGCAAATGCTGGGGTGCATTTATCCCCGCAAACATATACTCCTGCATCCAATCCCAGGCTGGTTTTCTTCTTCCATTGAGGAAATGCTCATTGGAAAGGTAGAAGGTGCTTTCAGTGTTTAGGGAATGTTGTTGTTAGTTGCAAAGTCGCGTCCAACTCATCATGGCCCCATGGACAACATTCCTCCAGGCCTTCCTGTCCTCCACCATCCCCGTCTTTGGCCACCAGTAAAAAAATCTCTGCCCTCATAAATCCATTCCTCTCAGCTTGGGTTGCAATATTTCTTTTGAAAGTTCTCTCATTAATAACTCCAATTCTAACAAAATAAAAAATACCCTGTGCAATTATGTCAATAGCATGAACATATGAGATACCATTTAACAACTAGAGTAAAGGTGCATATTTTGAGTAGCTAATAATTTGAGATTTAAAAACAATTCCAAATCACTTGTCCACAGGAAAACCCAATGCAGCCTCTATCTGACCAAGAGAATGTCTGCCAATATTGATGAGGTTTATTGCAAGATTTACTGTATATTACTGTATTACTGTTATATTACTGTATTATCAGTATAATGATTAATATTATATAATGTAACCAAGTAATATAATATATGCATGCATTATATATACAAAACTTGAATGATATGTGCACCAAAATGATATTTTACAGAATAATACTTACAGTCTAACAAGATTTGTAAGTCCTTTAAATATATCTGCATTCAGGCATCCTATTTGGTTGTTTGTTAAGTCTCTGTTAAGAAGAAGGTAAAAGTCTTGGAAAATTGTTTCATTTCAACATACTATATGTACCTTTCCAAAATTTTATGTAATAATATAAAATAACAGGGATAGCATCAGAGCTACTAAAAGGTTTTTCACTGGATAGCACACCAAAATATGGATAAGGTAGTTTAGGTCATATACAAAACCAGCAGTCAAATCCAGAACTAAGGTACAAATTTGGCAGTGTCCTTGGAATAATTCTAATACGAAAAAGAGATGATTTAAAAAGTGGACATTCAAGATACACGACTTACAAGACAACCCTGTGCATATCTATTCTGAACTGAGTCTCACTGAGTTCAATTAAACTTACTCTTCAGTACTTGTAGATATGGTTGCAGGCTTCATGTATTAAGAACACAACTTACTGGAATAACCTGAACTAGTAGGGAAGAAAGAGAGAGAACCACAACAGTTGTATTTCTTTTGGTTAAATAGCCCTACTCTTTTTAACTTCATAAGCAGAACACTCCATCTCTGAATTGCCTTTTAACTGTGTCTTTTTAAAAAGTTGGTAACGAGCTATATACTGTATAACTATACACATATTTAAAACTAAAAAGGTGATATCACAAAGTAAGAAGCTTCATGCCTAAGGCTTAAGGTCTTTTTTCAAAGATCAGAGGAGTTTTAGCTCAGGCTACCTTAAACTGCTATCTCCTACCTTTCACTTAATTTCAAATTAACAAGTGTAAATACTTACAGCCTTTTTAGAGATGAAAGTCCTACAAAAGCTCCGGGATCTATAACACTAATGAGATTGTTCTTAAGGTCCCTGTTTGAAAAGACAAAGTTTTAGTATAAAGTAATTTTAAACTGAATTTTCAGGCTAGATAACCATTTCACTATTTAGGAAGAAAAAACCCTCCACATTTCTTAAATATTTTCTTCAGAAAACAGGATTAGCATTAAATCTTTCAACAGGTCGCCAGTCTAAGCTGTTCCTTGATATCATCCTTAAACAGTCAAGGGAGTTTCAGAGTAATAACATTTCCTTTACTGCTCTGATTTGCAGCTGAAGGACCTGAACCAAGTTAGATGCAAAGGACTCAAGCAAGTGATACAATTATTTCTCACATGCATACAGAGCCCATGTACAGAAAAATCTCTGTAAAGCAAAACAAAGCCCTGCTGTCATTGCCTTAGGACATGTCCAGTCCAGGTTAGCCTTTGACTAAGTGAGAACAGAATGTGTGTGCATGCACACACATGTCCAGAGAATCACCATATTTTTGTTTAGAATTTATGCTAGACTCAAACCTCAAAGTTAGAAAAAAGGAAAGCAGACAGGATAAAGTAAGTATGCCCATCTGTGACTGATGTTTTTTGAGTGCTCATCTGTGCTTTCACACATATGGTCTCTGTGCCTGCATGGGACCTGTTGCCAGGAAGATTTTCCTGGTTAAGCTCATTTTTGGCAGGAGCCCTGCCCCCTCTCCCTTCTGTATAATTGAGACAGGCTCCTGCCATTTTTCCCCAATTCTAGTGAGGCAAACTTTTTGGCCTCAGTACCAGGGAATGAGGACTGGAATTGGTCTGGTGTGTATGGTCCTGAATGCTGGCAGCTTGTTGAATTCAATGCAATATCCATTCACAACAATGGAAAGAACCCACCGATCCTATGTTTTGCCTTCCTATTGGGGCAGATAGTTCTTAAGGCAGCCTTCGATCCAGATGGGCACCAAAGGAGATGGACTGGCCCATACAAAAAGTCAGCAGTAGCATCTCTTGATATAGAGCTGTATTTTGTTGGGCTGCTGGATCTGAGGGGGGGCATCCTGAAGGGTGGGTCAACTGATGTTTTTGACAGTGGGATGGTGGAACTGGCTCTGCTTTTGAAAAGACAATGGACCCCAAGCCCACTTAGACAATCTAGATGGTTGCATAGGTCTGAATTTACATTTGTCCTGCGGTCGCTCTAGACTTCTGCATGGTGTCAAGGTTCTTCTCAGTCCTGGAACTGAAGAGCCCTTCGCCATCAAAGGGCATTTCTTTGCTGCAGAACTGTGCCTCCTGAGAGAGGCTTACCTCTTGGAGCCAGCATGCATCCAAATTGCCACCATGCTGATGAGTGACCTGGAGTCACAGTCAACATGGTGACAAATGTTTATCTGCTACCTGGATAGCTGAAGTGCCTCCATTTGGAATACCCTAGTGGATTCCTGGTGTTGTTCAGGAGGATACTTGGCTAGGGTACACAGCTTTTCCCAGAGGACAAACCTGGTGGCTCCCCATGGTTGCTTCATAGTTAGAGATATGGAGGCCCAGTCTCATTGCTTCATAGACCTTTCTCTCCATCACACCCAGGTGGCATCCTTCCCTGTATGCTGGGGTGGAATGCTTGTGCTGTGATCATCCCTGTGCCGACTCTATGATGACTGAGTTTGGTCACGGATGGTATAAGAGGAATGGAATGTCCCCCTCCTGAACCCACTATAGGATGCTCAAATGGCAGGATGTTGACTGGGGCTATGTCAGGCCTTCCACAGTTCCCTCATGGTGTTAAGGAGTGTGGGAAGGGATGGAATGGCCACTGGCACAGAGTCTTCCATCTGGATGACACTGTAGATCAGGCCTATTGAAGACTTGGTGAGCTGTTGGATTTGTAGACTGAGAGATGTCGTAATTTGGAGGACCTGTTCAGAGAATCTTCCCAGGACCTTCTGCTGAAATGATGCCCTTTGCTGATGTCGATATCGGGTCATTGTAAAGAGGTGTCAGGTCAGGTGTAGTCAGCAGGGTTAGAGGATGAAGAGTGGCTGGACAGCAAAGATGACTCTTGCAGCAGTGCAGGCTGTTGAGTGGCAGATGGTGGATGAATAGACAAAGAAGACTGGAGAGATGGAACCGTTGTCTGGTGACAAGCTGGTCATGTGTCAGCAGGAACTGGTGGAATTGAGAATTGGTGGAACTAATGCCCACAGTTACTCTCAGCAATATACACTTGGTTCCCATTGGTAATAATACATTTCTGACAGCCTTCATTCCCAGGTGTAGCCAGGATAATACAGGTTTGTTGGTGGTGGCAGAGTCCAACAAGCTTCTTGGTTACAGGTAGGTGGCAAGGTCTTGGGCCATCCCATTGTGGAATGATACTAGGGAGAAGGTCCCTAATGGCATTCTGGCAACTGGATAAGTTGGGGGCATTGTTTGCTGTTGGTCCCACTGTGAGGAGCTGGTCGATCTTGGAAGAGATACACATGGTGGGTTGGTCAGAGTACAGGGTGGCATGTCCTGTATCCCCTGCACTCCCTGAAAAAGTGAATACCACAGTGCATTCTGCTTGTCCCATCGAGCCAAGAGGAGGAGCAGGCCTGCAGGTAAGACTCCACTCAGTGATCTTCACTGAGACAGGAAAGGCTTAGAGAATGTCCATCCACTGAAGGTATTTCTGTACTGCAACGGACACATTTCTGAAAAGCTACCCTGAAGGCCATCAGGGAGAGGAAAGAAGAAAGATGAGGTAAGTGAAAAAGAAGGACAGAAGATGTTCGTTTTGTTTTTTGTTTGGTAAAGTTAGATTACGAATGATATAAAAGTGAAAATGCAAGAAAAGTGGCATGAGAATGAAAGAAAAGTAGCAAGAGAAAAAGGTATTTTAGAGTTTAGAAGGTTCTAGAAGCTAAGTAAGGACACTAAGAAAAATGGACAACTAGAAACCTGAGCCACCCAAAATGGCAGTCAGAAAAGAACTGGGGAAAATGGCAGGAGCCCTTCCTATTTATACAGAACAGAAAGGAGGTGGGCTCCTGTCAAAAATGAGCTCAGCTAGGAAAATCTTCCTGGCAACAGGCACCATGCAGATATAGAGCCCATATGTGTGATGCACAGAGACCACAAAGAAAAACCACTTTGTTTTATCAAATGTGGTGCCAGTATGTGATTGCCTATTCTCTGATGCTACAAAATGTTGGGATTATCCCAAGTGATGCTCTAAGTCCTGCACTTTAGAGTCAGAATTTGATAAAGGAGTGAACTTTATCAAGTTTAGACATGAGAAACATAGGACTTGAAAGCCTAGTTTTTCTTATGTGACAGGTCAAAGAGGGCTGGTCTGGGCCTGCTCAGGATGAGGAATGCCACAAAAGTAAGGGCATAATTCTGCTGGGATTCAGCCTTGTAAATTTCAACACCAAGGGACATGTCTACAGCTAACAAAGCTTATAGTCTCTGTGTGGAAATCAAGAAGGCAGGGGAGAGAGAGGTAAGGATGAAGCGTTTTCAAACCTGTTGGCATATTTGTGTGTGTGGAATAGATGAATCTAAAGAAAGCAGCACAAAAACATTTTCTGTAACACTTTGGGACTATCTATATTTTCTGTTCCAAACCCTTCCTATGTGGACTTTTAATTGTCTAAGCTGTACCTTTTCTCCTTATTTCTTCATCAAATTTGCATTTTTTAATTCTTGTATCTTAAGAACTTGCCTGGAACTATATTGAACTTCGTGTTCCTGGGAGCATAACTTGTAGAAGCCCTGACTGGAAATCTCTATTGCTCACTGCATTCATCTGGACTTCCAATTGTTTTAAATGCCCAAGATGCTGGCTCACTTGGCTTATTGTAAATTACTGTAAAACTTGAGATTTTTGTCCATTTGGAATGGTTATAACTGAAGCAAGGCCTGGTGAGTCTATCCTGATAATGTTGACATGTTGACTTAAGAGCACATAATGATCCCTTGTTTGGACTGGTCCTTTGGTTTTTGGCCGCACACATCATAGAAATTCTATTGTTGACTGATTGTGTCTGTTCATTCAGATTCTATTTTTGTTATTTCCTCTTGGCCCACATATTTAATTACCTGGAATGTTGCCTTGGCTGGAACTATCATGACCCTTTTCCCTGCTTTGTATTCTAAACTTTAGAGATCCCCACTTGGAAACT